TAGGCGATGAGTGCAGTGCCTTTGCGGAGAGCTCGCCTGGAACGTCAAATGGCCCTCCGCTCAACCGAAGATAATTCAGTTTGTAATTCTAATTTTTAAAAAAATAAATATTTATATATATAAATATTTATAATATATATTCAATAAACATTTATGTCTCGGAAAAAAATCGTTTAAATCAAAAGGTTTCTATAAGAAGATTATAGAAGATTACTCAATTAACTATAAAAAGTATATTTAACATTTCATAGTTTTTTAGTTTAAGAAATCCATTTTTTCAGTTTCAGTAATGCATATTTTCATATATTGTAATATATTTGAATAATTACAGGACAGTCTCACTGTTCATCAAGGATATTTAGCTCCTCCAGTAGTCGCTCCTGATAGTCCTCGACCTCAGAAAGTTGACAATTTGCCAGGCAAGTTGACAAGTTGACAATTTAACAGTTTGAAGTTTTCTATATGTATTATCCTGTAATTTCTCTATTTAGCACAGAGTTTAGATGATTAAATCTTATCGAAATAATGAAGGAAAATAATATAACTTAAAAAATCAAACGAGAAGAAAAACGAGAATAAGTAAAGCCTGATCAAGGAGTCCAAAATTCATAATGAAATTTGAATAGTTAGATTACGTGTAGTTGCTATTTAAAGGAATGAATTTTGAATTTTGCAATTAGCCTTCTACTGCGAAGAAAACTCATAATAGGCTATTTAAACATCGAGCTAAAAGCTAGAATGTATTGCTAATTATATAATCCCAGCTATCAATGCTGGACTTTCATTCTGATTTTACTAATAGCCAGTTGAGTGTGTCTAACCAGAAAACCACTTCCTTGCTCATAAATCGTGCCACTTATTTTCTTCGCTAAAAATGAATTATTGGATATTTAATGCTAATCAAATCACTATTCTAAAAGCTGGTAAAAAATTTTATTTTTTTGAAGAGAGGTTTCAATAAAATATTATAAACAACAGATAAAAATTGTTTTCTTTTTGAATACTCGTTATGCATTATTTATTTTATGAAATCCATTAAGATACTTTAAGAAGATAAGTTAATCTTTTCCAGCATCGGATCCGTTGGATACGAGCGGTCCAAGTTTAAAAATTCCCGTGGAGCAACAGAATCGACCAAGTATATATAATCTTGCACAGTTTGAAATAAATTCAAAATCAGTTTTAGCAATAATTTCATTAAATACACCCACAGTAACAGTGATTTGATTAATTTTTTCTTAAAAAAAAACGAAAATGAAACTAGTTTTTAAAATATTTTTATTATTCATCTTTTCATTTAATATTTGATGAAATTAGGAAAATAGAGTATTGCTGCGATTCACTTCTGTTCCCAAATAATTGTCTTTGGAAAAAAATTTCTTTTCTATTAAGAAATTTTAGCCATCGAAGTTAATCTAACTGGAAACTTTTTTACTTATTTCATTACTTATTTACTGGTGTTTAATATTCAGGAAACTAGGTGAATGATGGAAAAATTATCAAAAATTCATTATGGCAAGCTTAGCTTTAGGCAATATTTATTGATCAGTCTATTCCCACTCTATTCCATATGCGATTGTCGTTGTCATGGGATCATGATTATGTTTCGCTTTACACCGTTCAATTCATTATTTCCTTTCACTGATTTCTAATATTTGTTGAATTTGAAAAATTTCTAAATTATTAAATCGAAATGAATTTCTGCCAAGAGATAGGAGTGGAATCGTGATATTTGCTTGAATTGTAAGTCTAAGAAGGATAACCGATTGACCTCGAACGTTCAAATTCTGAATCTGCCTTTGCCACTTTTGAACGAAATTTTAAAAATTTTTTCGGGATGCCTACCCATTTATACTTCTATCTCCAAGTGATTCCCTATCTCTCATTCTACCAATAACCAATTGAGTAAACACAACCAGAAATGCTAAGCATTTACCACTTACTTATATTATCAAAAATAAACAAATGGGCGAATTAAACGTGTTTTTCATCTTAATTAATTAATGATCACTTTATTAGTTATGCAAGCATTCGTTCATTACGAAATATTAATTTTTTAATATTAGTAGAGCATGGAAAGGCCATTGAAGCTTACGAAATTTTCAGAAACACCATCATCTAATAATAATAAAACCACAGGTGGTAAGAAAGCGACAAAAAAAGGGATCCAGAAGGCGTGAATGACATTTGCTTTCAGTCTCCAGGCTCATGTGCATTGCTAAAAAAAACGTATTTCCTCGACTTTCATAAGATTGTTCTAAATAGATAATAAAAGATTGCTTACATCTCTTAGAAGGTCTTTAAATATTTCATATCTCCATGTAATAAAAAATTGTTAAAATCACTTTCCGAAGACTAAGTGATTTTATATGGTTTTATGAAAAAATATTAAATAAATGACGATTTTGAATCATTCATTGCGCTTTTTGATCTAATCTGCTTATAATTATATAGTTAAATGGTTGAAAATATTTAAATTAGTTTTTCAAATTTTTTAAAAAATATATATTCAGATTTCTTTTAATTAAAATACAGTCTTTTTTATTCTGTATTTTTAAATTAATTAATGGCGAAAGCAGAAAATATTGGAACTAATTTCGTATCTGATATCCAAGTGGATAGTACATTTTGTTGAGAGACAAGATTTAGCTTCAACCCTCATGGATAAACTTATCATTGAAAATTCCGAACAATGTTGATCGACCTATCTAGATTGCTATCGCCAAATGATTCATTGGCAAAAATTTCTAACCGTATTAACAGCCAATGGAACTGGTCTAACCAGAATTAATGAGCATTAACCACTTATTAATTTATTTTCGCTTTTCCTTGCAAGTAAATTCTATTAAGTATTTAAAATTTATTTTATATTCGTGATTATGCAAAAATGAGTAAAGCTTATTATTTCTAATTAAATTCGCTCCACTCTATTAGTGTGATGACTTTTGTCCGGTCACACTGGTTATAGAAACATAACGATAGGAAACCTGATCTTTGAACATTTGTTATTTGAGCGATTATTTGAGCAATAGTTATATGTATGTGCCGCATCCTTGTTGGAAAATTTTGTCGTGAATAAAAAAGCTTATGTTGATTTTTAAAACTAATCCATTTAAAATAGAGGGAAAATTATCAAAATTTTTTTTGGCCTAATTAAGCTCGATGCGATCGTTAAATAAATTTATCACTAAAAATTCAGTTTTATTCAAGCGATGAATGATGAATGTGGTTTTGATTTTTAGTGGCTGCTAAAACATTTTAGAAAAAGCTTGAATGGATATAACAGTCACCAATAACTGGTTAAAAAAAATTAGATAAAAGCTGTAAACATAAAGTTCATATATCGAAGAAAATTCTTTCATCCTCTTCGCATTTTCTCGTTTCATCGCAGAAAAGACGAAATGAAATTAAAAAATGTCGCAACAAGTGCTCAAAAAAAAGGATTCGGAGATTTTTGCGAGAACTAGGTTGACCCTGACAGCCGCAAGGTAGAATCGAACCACTCCCTTTTAAAAATGGAAAAAAACTGGAATTATCGAAATATCCGATTTGATGAAGAACACATGTTCATTCTTCGAGCGACTCGCTCTGGCGAAAGGAGACTTGACACTGGTAATTATGCTAATCAAACTAAATCATACAAATAATTCTCGCATTTACTTTTGCTTAATATTTGATGTGAAAGATATGTTTTTCCTATTTTTGCAGTGAATGCAATGTAACGAAGGTTGAAATAAAAATTTCTTTTAATCAATTGATAATAATGAACTTTTTAAATGGTCAACAATTTTTTTCAAAAAAAACTGTATAGGGCTTTGTGCTTGCATTAACAGCAACAACAAGTAAGGTGATAAATGAGTAGAAAACGGTGAAATTGATATAAAATAGAAAAAAGTGAATGTGGCCAAAAATTAACAATGTAAAGAGAACAGAACAGTATGCCGAAGGAGCGAAATCTCTCCGCAGATCCTCAATAAATGATATACACTCTACGTCGTTCGGCAGCTGAACAGATAAATTAGTCATTGGCTAAATTTTGCATAGCCCATTAGATCCCGTTGAATTCAAATTTAACCTAAAATTATTTGCAATTTTGATGATACAGTCTTCTTTAAATCGCCGAACTAGTTAGGGAACCCGGGATAATTGGAGTTTTGCTTTACAAACAAGACTGCTTTTAAAAAACAGGTGATATACAAAGCCTTTCCGTAATACAATTAATTTAATTGATTTGCGGTGCAAAAGAATAGCAGAATGTATTATATTCAAGTAGAGGTGTCAAATGAATATTTTGTTCATTTTTATGAGAAGAATTTCAGTTCTGATTCTAAACGACCGAAAAATAAAATTTGGTATTTTTGAGGATTTTTGTACTGTGGTTCTATGGTGAAGGTAGAAAATAAGGTTCTCATCTACACCAATATCTCAAGAAGATACACTGCTTATGTTCCCATTAATAAAAAGATGAGGAAGATCAGATCCGCTCGAATTTTTTAATCCTATAGATTTTTGAATTGATGAGAAAGGTAATTTGTTTACCATGCAACCAGTCGGTAATTCTATTCACGTTTAGTTTTCCGATCTACTGTAAGGGCAATGAATTTTGCATTCATCATCATAGAGATAAGCACAACTTTGATTTAATATTAACAAAAAAAGTAGTGGTTCGATATATCGAATTATTTCGTCTGATTTGACCGGAGCCATGTCTGAAAGCGAATTATTGCGAATGCGTATAACTTGATCCTACCGGTTCTTTAAATAATCTGGCAGCCAGTTACAATTGCGATTCTTGCTGCAGTTTCTTACACGTTATTTAGTATTACTTGCACTTCGTTATAACTGTCAGCAAAAAGCACTACATCATCAGCGTATTCAAGATCTTTGCTCTGGACTGATTTGTACATCTCTTGAGTACCGACAAGTGGTGTCCATTATCCAGTCTATCGCATAGTTGAATACTGTAGGGGAAAGGACGCAGCCCTGACGGACACCAGTTCTTATTTCAAAGGAGTCTCTGTCAATTTCCCATATTTACAGACCTGCGCCGACGTATGCTCATAAAATGCCTTTATGAGTCGAATGATCATCTCTGGAACACCGTCACATTCCATCACCTTCCAAAGCGCCTTTCTATCAATTGAATCAAAGGAAGCCGCAAAGTCGATGAAACATGTAACGGTGGGTTGCAAATATTTGAAGCAATGTTCTTCTTCCTTAACATCTTTCTTAAATGTGAATATCTGGTCAGCACAACCGAGTTCCGGCCTAAATCTAGCTTGATTAGGAAACATCTTGCTGTCTTATACTGCCATAAGTCTACTGAGTAAGAGGGAAGCAAAAATTTTCGCTGAGACGTTTAGTAGGCTGACTCCTCGATAATTGCCTTGTTATCTTCCTTAGGATTGGGAGCAGAATTGCTTTCCTCCAGTTATCTGATAATATTTCTTTCTTCCATAGCAAAAAGTTCAAGGTGCGTTATGAAGGACGATGAAGAACATTTCAGCCGGAGTTCTTGAACAATATTTCTCCCGGAGTTTTGTTGGCCTTAATTTTATTAACAACGGAGTTTATTTCTTTTTCTGTTGGCTGTTCGCAATTGTATGGTTCGACGAACGTATCCGTGTAATGCCGCATCATGATTAAATTTGAATTCAAATTTAATACCCAATACCCAACTTTTCAATACCCAACTAGCGTAATTCTTACTAATATGCTCTAGCATGGAAGTGGTTCATTTGGACCAGTATTCATTTAACGTCCCAGAAAAATCATTAATATTTATACCATTGAGATGTTTCAATAATTCAGTTTAAAATGCATACATTATATGCATATTTCTTAGCTTGAAATAGTTAGAGATAGTTAAAGATCTTAAGAAATGCGATTTCTTGCGAATTGTCAATTTAATGCGGATTTTGGCTCACATTACAACATGGGAACGAGTATCTAGTACGAAACTCTTCCAACTGCGACAGGCTAAGATATAATCAATCTGGTTAAAGTGTTGGCTATCGGGGAAGTTTTAAGTGATTTTCTACGATTCCAAAATATTAATAATGAGAAGTCCATGCTGTTCGACAAAGCTGAGAAGGTATTCTCCATTGGTGCACTGATGCACTGATCTTCAATACCACATTTGCCAATTGTCGAGGTCAACAGCATTATGACCTATGCGCGCATTCCAGTTCTATAAGATTATGGCCATGTCGTGTTTTGGTAGAGACTTGGTTAGCGATTGAACTTCCGCATAGAATTTATTCTTACCACGATCATCTGCGTATAAAGTTGGAACATATACAATAATATACAATAATGACCAAATTATTGCAGAATTTTTCTTTGAAATGCGTAGGCCATACGATCATTTGCTGGCTTTCACTCAATCAGAAGGCCCCACAGGACATAGCCAGTACCTCTTCTCGAAGCCAGGATTAGGCATCAGTAATTACTTAAAATCTGAAGTGAGGAATACGGACCAGAATAACCTCCGAGAAACAGGTGAAATCCGCACGACATTTAAAAAGAGTGTGGACAGTGGTCGCATGGCTTGCAATTATAAGCATTCTGACGTTCCACACTGATATGGCTAACATCTAGTCGAGCATGCAGAAAGCCGTGCCTATTAACAGATATCGAGCAATTGTCCTAGCTTGCGAATTTTTATTTATGAACCTTGGAATTGTTTTATAGCCGGATTGTATATTTATCGCGTATATCATCGGGCTGGGAGTATCATGCGCGTTAAAGGACGCAAAAGCCATGTCAAGAACCCTTTCATTTAGGGACAGAATTACAGGTGGATCCCCAGCAGCCGCCTGGATTATTGTATTGTATAGATTATGATTTATTCCTCTAATTTATAATTTGTTAGTTAAAAGAAACTTAGTTTAATTGTATGTAATTTTGAAAATTGCAGAATTAGCATGAGAATAGCATAGCGGGGCAGAAAACGACTGCTCAAAGAATTTCTCAAAATTTAAAGCTGTTGATTTATTTTTAACTATTTTTCTCAGACAAAACGGAATTATTATTTAATTAATAATAATCTACTTGTTAATTTTAATTTTAATGATAACATTTTCTTTCTACTCTTCCTATTATGTGAAATGGTAAATTTAATATTTTTTTTATCAGTTTTGGCAAAGTAAATAAACAATAAAATAAAGTGAAAAAAGTAAATTGAATTGGCTATGGTCGACCGATAGCACGATGAGACAATTTTCACGGTCATTGGAAGATAGAACTGTAGGCCGATCAGTTGCACCACCGTCTATTTAATTTAGCAGTGGAGCTCGAGGCATGTTGATGGAAATCATAATCTTACAAGTAAATATTATTGTTCCTATTGTTTTGAAATTTGACGACACTATTTTTTCACGAATTTCATGAAAAAAATTTTGAATCCAATTGAAATTCACGATGAAATTTACTGAAAATGGCAAATAGACAAATCCATGTTCCAGTGCTATAACTAAATCAATTCCATGAAATCCATGTTCCAGTGCTATAACTAAATTAATTTTAAAATGAAAATTGGATTTAATAAAAACGAGAAAATATATATCAATTTATAAATATAATTACATAATTACACAATATATATATATATATATACATAAAGTATGTCATAAGGAATTCACATCACATCTTATTGAATATTTTATTTGTGACGAAATTTTTTTCTCGTAAATATGAAAAATTCCTTGTGAAATATCAATATTTACAACATTTATATATAATAAAACTAATGGAGAAAAATAAACGAGGCTTTTTAAGCGATCATAAAGTGATTAATAATATTCCCCATATTTTGCCCTTATTATCCCTTTAATCTTAACCTTAAACCCTTTAATAAACTCAAAACTCGTTCGCTCGCCCGAATTGGGAATAAAAATACCTTAATATTAATATTTGGCATTTAATAAAAAATATAATAAATAGTTTATTATTAATAAAAAATTATTGCTTTTGAAAACTACGAAAAATGATTGTTTTTTTATTTTTTTCATATTTGTAACTTCTTTTGCGATTAACACTCCTAAAATTTCTTACATTTCCATAATAAATTAATCTTCTTTTTCTTCTACTCTTAACAACAATCACCATTACTAAAAACTTTGAATGCCTTTATCGACTGCTAGAACCACCGCTTCGTTGGAGAGTACCTAAGGACCGGAGGATTTCCTGCCCGGATTTCGCTTTTAATGACAATAAACCTTACTTTTGTCAGCACAAATCGACCAAACTTATAATGATGCCACTCGATCGTTCATTTTTGTCCTTAGAAAATATTTTCGATAAAAAAAATTCAAAAACGTTTCACTGATAAGATTCAATCGATGAATCGCCAATATTTTTAGTTGCTCAAGATGCGCAGTATTCAATTGATCATTATCGATTCATCAATAATCAATAGAATTTTTGCTATATTATCATACGAATATGATAATATGAATATTTTGATATATTATGATATGAAAGAAAAGGAAAGAATAAATAATGAAAGAATCTTTGCCAGTGGCCAATAATTCTCTAACGAAGAATACTATCGTTATTGTAAATATTCGTTAATAATTGGCAAAGTGTGTAAAAATTGTGGGAATAACCATTCTATTATTCTTTTAATTTGTTTATTGCGGGTATTTCTGACATATTTAAATTTTTACAAGCGTAAGAATTATCATATTTACAATTCAGATTTTACCTATATTTTTCTCTTGTAACTTTCATGCTTTTGGCTATTTGTATGGTTACTTATTCATAATGCTTTTTCTTCTAACAGCACGCATAATTTCTAATTTCCTTGATAGGGTACAAATCTTTTGTCAAAGATTCATTAAGAAATAGATTTATAGATGGTTTCACAATGCCACCTGGACTTCAGCCTCATTGATTGGTTTACTCTCGTCAAGAGATAGGAAACGACCCAGTATTGTTTGTTCTCCTTTAATGAAGTTGCTCGATTAAATTCGTTGGAAAATCAAAGTTGATTAAAAAATTTTCACTTGATAGTAAAGAAAAAATTTATAGTTTTATGTTTGCTGGGTGATAGTTTAGAACTACTCACTGAAGTAGTTGACTCGTCGTCTATAGCGATCTAGAAACCGACTGCTTTACTTTCTTACTCTTCTGCATTTTCACTGGAGATTTTAAGCAAACAATTTATTTTTCTTGCTTGTTGACTTTAGCATAAGTTTCTGAAATCAGATCATCGTACTTTATGTTTGTGAATTTTCTTTATAATTTTACCAAAAATTCGAATTTCATCGTAAAATCATTCTTTTCCATTAAGTAAATTTGCATAAAATATATCTGAGACCAGTCCTTGTTGCTAGAAAAATCTTTTTCTTTCGAAAAGGCAATGCAATTTAATGCAAAATCCTTATTAAGAGTGGAATGGCTGTGTTCTATGTTGGGATCGATTCCGATCTCTTGGTAGGAGTGAACCTATCATTAAAAGTGAAGCACTGGTACTGAGTATTTTGTGCTTCAAAGTTAATTTCTGAAAAAAAAATTTTTTCTTAACAGTCAGCAAGCCAGAAATGTTAGAAGAAGGAAATCTTACGGTAATTTGGTCCGAGTTGCTAAAATATTTGGATGAAATAAAACTGTTCAAAACGAGGCGTTTGACAAGATGTTTTTTTGCTTTCAGCTGTTATTAATTTGATTAGAAAAGGCATTAAAAAATGGATGAAATGAGAGAAAGTTCTTTTTATTTCTTTTCAACTACCTTATGCATTTGGCTAGACAAATTTATCTATACTTTTCTACATTACTATTGTTACAAATCTATATTCTCAGTTTTTTTTAATCTGTCAACGTTTACGATTCCGCATGTGGACTCACTTTTGTTTCATTTTCAAGCGTCTCTTTGAGGAAGAGATCATTCCATTATTCAAATAAATCAAAAATGGTAAAAAAAAGTGTTAGTGGAAGAAAGAATTCTGTTAATATGGCAGATTCAGTGGTTTGACCGGAAGAGGTGGACGATATTTATTTACTGACTTACTTTCAGTTTAATTTCTAAGTTTTTATTATATTCATAAAAATTTCAATGGATTCTTAACGAAGCGTGAAAATGATAATTAAATGCAATCTGAATCTTCATATAACCTTAATAATAATAAATAAGCGTTAGTAAAAATTTACAAGGCCATCATGCTCAGTGGTGCTGCCTGTCATTAAATTCTATACAATTTAAATCTATTGACGGCAACGATAACAACGACAACGGCGATCTACGGGAGGGCAAGTGTAATACCAACAATTGGTATAGTTTTTGCTTTTATTA